GACTGGCTAGTTTATTTTGATTTAAGTTGTATCCCTTCATCAGTTTTGTCCCATCAACAATACGTGCTAAGTTGTATTTGCCTTCCTGCATTAAGACTTGTTCTTTCTATCTTCCCTGCATGCTTTACATACAAAAAAAATTCTTGAGTTATGTACCTTAACCTTTTCCTGTATTTGTTTTTACTCCCAGTCTTATTCTTAGTACTTCACATTGTATTATTTTCCAAGCTCTTGTTTTCCTTTTTCCAATATTCAATTTAAGGCCCTCTAGATCAGACTCACAAAGCACCTCTTAAACATTCTTCCCAGTTCTCATGAGTGCCTCTCTTACCAGGAGTCACTTATCTCAGAAATAAGATCCATTATCAAAGATGCACCTTTAAAGAAGCTGCTTCAGGACATGCTGGAGGATATACAAAGTACACTTTTGAATGATTTGCAAATGTCTAATAATAGATACACAGGTATGAGGGCATTGCTTCTCTTTAATGCTCTTGTGGTATTATGGTAAATGTGTTAACACCGCAAACATATGCTGGGCCAATCATCTGCACCCTTCAGAAAAGCATTTGGGGAAAACTGATGTTTTGCTACCTTCAAATGGAGATGCATCAAGGTTTCATTTGCTAAGTTCTTGATTTATTATAATTTTTATGTTGTCTTTTGTGTTATTTAAAAGCTGATCCAAATCTTTGGAAACTGAGTAGCATATAAGCAAAAAAAATACATACTGCAAATCTTTCCTGTCCAATTCACGCCATCTACACTTCAATACCTCAAGAGAGAACACACCCTAATAAAAATAGCTACCATGTACCTATGGGTATGAATGAAGAGGTTTGTAACAGTTACAATAATTGGAATTCCAAACTAGCCCATAAAATTATATTTTCATCCAACTTATACTTCTAAAAGCATTCACAAGATCTGAATGCACTCTATCTTGATTTTTCTTCTCCATGAAATTGTACGTAAGTTTTTAATAAGCAGTATATCGAAGTCCTGAATAGAAAAGCTGGATCTCACCAATCCTATGATACAAAATAACTTCAAGTATTTTGTAGTATTCATTATCACTGTACTCCTGTAACAAATGGTTCCTCATGCAATCGTCATGGTTAATATTAAAAATAATTTCTATTTTATTTAATATGTACTTAATAACTTTGTATTGCCACAAAATAAAACATTAGATCTTCAATCACTGTATAAAATGCATATTTTCAAATAGTTTTCTATTTTTATATATTATTAACTATTATTCTGAAATAGTTATAATATAAATACCATAATTCTGCAGAAGATCAATATTTAATGTGAGTATTACATAATTTCAGCTTTCATACAAATTACTTGGTATTATTATTTTGACATATTTATTTTAAATTTCAGGTTCAAGTATGAGTTCAAATACTCCAAGTATTTTTTTTAATGAAAATTACTTATGAGCATTAGTTAAGTACTTTTTACTTTATTTTAAGCAAAATATTCAAATGAACACTTTTTCTAGCAAATAATACCCAGCAACATGATTACTTTTTAACTTGATATTACCTATATATACTGTCACCATGTGCTTTGTATAATGGATGTTGTAACCAAACTGGTCTTATATCAAATATATACATATGGACTAGGGAACTCCCAAGTTAAACCACAATATTAAAAGTATATAAAAATACTTCAACCTTTTGTGGTTATATTTATAATCTTGAAGTTAACATAAAATCACTAATTACCAAATCATGGGATATAAAGACTTGGAAGTGCAAAGTAAAAAACGTATTATCTGGGTAATTGTTCTCCCAGGGCAAAACTGTCATACCTTCTTGATCTGCTTTTGGATCTTGATCTCTGTGATCGATATGATTTTCCTTGTGCTCTTGATCGGCTATGGCTCCGTTTTCTTTTGGACCCATACGAAGAACTGCTGCTTGATCGATGCCTTCGCCTCAAATAGATATCAGCAGAAAACCTACTTACAATCAATCCTATTTTTTGCATAGTCAACTAAGCTAGTCAATATAGTAAATATGATCAACCTCCACACACACATATACTCAAAGACAGACAGACAGACAGAAAGACATAAAATAAGTAAAATATTTATTAAAATATTTTTCTTAGGCTAAATCCAAGCTATCAAAATAATATACAAATTCCAGAAGACTTTTGGACAACTCAAAAGTGTAGAGATTTTTTTATGAAATGATAAACTATCTAAAGATTTATTTTAACAAAATGATGTATTGTTGGTATCTGTCACTGGAAGAATTATCTAAAATGTATAAAGATACTTTGAAGTATGTTGGAAATATAATTTACCAAGCTGAGGAAACATGTAAAAAAGCTTAAAATTTTTGAAATCAAATACGTAACATTAATTCAGATGATATTAAAGATAATATACAATAGAAATCAGATATTTTCCCTGTAGAGACTCAGTTGGAAAAAATCATGGAACTTAGTTTTTATATATGGTAACAGTAACAAGACTTTCATATGCACAAGATTTGAAAAGATTTGTCATTACCTACAACTGAAGAGTGGATAGTAAAGTTAATGGAGCTGGTTGAAATGGCGAAATTGAAAGCTTTAAAGAAAAGATACTGATTAATTTTAATGAAGCCCTCTATGGACTTCTTGCACTAAACTGAATAAATGAAATTATGATATATGAGTTTATGAATAAAATATCAGATAATAGAAAAATGAAAACTATGTTGTGAACTTAGAAATAGGAGCTTACAGGTAGTCCTTGATTTACAACTGGTCACTTAGCAACCGTTTCAACTTATGACAGAACCCCTAAAAGATACTTAAGATACACTCAAAGTTAAGGCTGCTACAGCACCCCACAGTTATTCACCCTTACGACCAATTATAAGAATGCTACCCATCTGGCCCCGCTGGGTCCCTACAATCACTTATCCACCCAAGGGAAAGATTTGGCTGGCTGTAGCACATGCAAATCAGTTGGAGCTTGCTATCCTCATTTCCTTTCCTCCCAGCTAGCAAGGGAGATCACATCGACTGCAACATGCAAGCCTGACTATAACTTCTGGGCTCAAGGTTTCAAGCCAATCCTTTCAAGCTTGTGCAGGGGATCAAGAAGACAAGCAATAGAATGCACTGTCTACATCAGCTTCTGTATGTTCTTGGGTGCCACAAACTGAAAGTAACTTAATCTAACCATTCAAAGTTATCAGTGCAAACATCCAGACTGGCCTAAATGTGAGATATTTTATTTGCAAAAATTATTAAAGGCAGACAAAATCATCAAACTTTGTGTGATAATCTCCAGAGAAAGCAGCAGGAGTCTGAATATGCTTCCTCACAACCTAACTCAGCAGAGCAAGCCATAAGCTTTGCAAATATCCTCGGTGAAAAAACAGCAACTTTGCTGTACATATTAACAAAGCAAAAGTGAGCATCAAACAATGCTTTTTCTCATTTTTCACATATTCTGACCTGTGTTCAAGTATTTTATTGTATAAAATTAACATATAAAACCACTTACAAGTAAAACAAAAACAAATATAAGATTTTTTCCTTTAATACATATCAGGTTTGAAGGATATGCATGATCTATAAAGTGTTTCAATCAATATATATTTGAAACTCATATAGCATATTCTGTTGCAGTAACAATGTAGGGATGTAGCATTGTCTGTATTGTAGTTGTTTTCTTGGCCACTTATTGGCAATAAGATGCTACTGATAATAAAATTTTCAGGTTAAACATGGACTTTTATCGAAAAATATGCACATTTCATGGATATTAGATTTTAACTAAAGAAAAAGAAAAAACTGACATTAAAAGTTTAATAACATCTGTTAAAACTTTGTAGTAAAACCTTTCCTCAAAATTTAAAAATGTAGATCTAATTAAAACGGAATCAATGAATATTAATTCATTAATGTCACTGTATAACATAAAAGTATTCTCCACTGTGACTCATACCACTTTTATCAATGCTTCATATGAAGAATATAATGTGGCTTCAGAGTCAAATTGTTTCTCCAAAGTACATACTATAGACAGATGAACTTCAGATTGCAGAATAGCGTTAACAAAGTCAGTATGTACATGTACTACTCGCTCCTAGAACATCAGAGCTGTAATAGAAGAAAATATGCTACTGTAGGCATATTAGTAGACTTTTGATAAAATATGGAGCAAAGGAAATTGGATAGCAATAAAAAATAGTATATATACATGTGTGTGCGCGCACACACACACACACACACACTACTCTAGGATATAAAATCAAAATTTTGTTACTGATAAAATCATTCTCGAAATAGAGACAACATGGGATGATAAACATTTTTTTACTGCAATTTGAGTAAAATAAATGACAAATTTTCCACAAGAACCTTTGTCTGTGTACTGGTTTTTACGGTTTTTGCACTGTTCTTTCTTTTTAAACATTTTAACAGTGCCCGGAGCCACTGGCAGTTGGGCAGTATATAAATTTAATAAATTATAATTGCACAGTCAATTGGATTTGGCATTTCTTTCCTCCTATCAAGTCCTTCCCAAGGACCTGGGATAGGCAGATATTGATGTTTGATGATGTTAAAGGTACCATTACTTTCTCTATCCCACCAGTTCTTGCTTACAGGCAAAGGGTATTTCTTGCAGATCTTCCAATGCACCATCATGTGACCATAGAGAGGTTGCAAGGGCCACAATTTCAAGGACTGATTGTACTGTAAGTCTTATTATTCAGTGACATAATAACTGAATGGTTGCTGAATGAGTGATTGGTAAGCAAGGACAACCTGTATGGAATTGCTACTTTCTCTAAAATGATGCCATTTGTTAAAACAATAATTAAGCAAATTATATAAACTGGCACTAACAAGTTATATGAATGCTACAATTTATGTATCATTATTTAGCAGACCATATCATAGGATAAAATACTGAACTGTATCTGATGAATATTTTAAAAGTTTCATTTACAGTTTTAAAACTGAAGTAATATATTTACTTTTTTTCATATGAATGTGAACGAAACTGGAGATCTCGAGACCGTGATCTTGATTTTCTTCCAGATTTTTTATGGCTGTAACTTCGACTATCTGAGGAACTGCTTGAAGATGACCTTCTACGATGTTTCTTTTTTCTTCTGCTTTTAGACTCTTCTTCAGTGTCTGATGAATGGCGACCCATTTTAGCAAGCTAGGTTTTACAAAAATTAGAGAACTGTAAACATTAAAAAGTATTGTATGATTAACAGAAAAGTATATCATTACTAAATTTTCACTCACTGGTCTTTAATTTAAAGCAAAATCTTACCTATCTACTGTTACTACATAAGTAACACTGTTCTCCAAAATATAATCATGCAAACTTTTTCACTATTGGAAAAGACACAATGCTCTATGTAACCTTTTTTTTTAAAAAAAGAAATAAACTAAATAATCTTAGAATGCATACTTGCATACTTTTAAATCCTGTTAAGTTCAACAGAACTTTATAAAATGGATAGACCAATTTACATTTCACAGAAAGCAAAATAATTGTTAATGCAGTTCCAGCAAAACTTTATAAGGTACAAAAAAGAACTGAAACATTACTGGAAAAACTAAAAGAATTTGGTGCATTAATAAAAATGTGTAAATACATCTACATTTGTGTGGCAGGGGAAAAAACCCACAAGCGTGTTGTGAATGTTACAGGTACAAAGGAAAGAGGAGAGTTGGGTCTACCTGATTTGAAATTGAATTTTGCAGCTTGCTGTTTGGTTTTGTTTGGTTGGTGCTGCTCAGAAATAGAAGGTTCTTTGAGTTAAAAAACGACCTGATTACGTGGCACAGATATTTATGATACGACAAAGCCCAAATTAATGTGGATTTTAAAAATCATTAGAGTAGACATGTCATACTGAGAATATGAAACAGGCATAAACCCAGGTTGTGCCCCAAAACACCTTTGTAACTGTCAGCACAAGAAACATTTTATAGACGGAGCTTCCGGTGGGAGGCGACGGCGATGGCGGCTAGCTTTTAGCCGTCCAGCTGGGGAAGTGTCAGAGCCGCGGAGCGCAGCGCGCATCAGCTGGCCCGCGGCTCGGAAATCCCTTCCCGGGCAAAGGGAAGGGATAGAGAACGCAAGAGTAGAGGTAGAACCCCTGAACCCCCTCTGGATTTATTTCTAGAGGGGGTGAAAGGAGTGTTCCCTCGGAGCTCTTGCTGATCTCCGCCTCCCAGCTGTTTTTGCTTCCTTGGAAGCAAAAGAAACCGCCGCTTCTATCTCCGTGTTTACAGCATTTTGGTGAGTAATTTTTAAACGGACGGAGCAGTTTAAAGGACTTTTTCTTATATTTTAGGTGTTTATTTTTTTATCTTTTGATTTTTACTATTTTTCCTCCTTTTCTTTGTTATACTAGTGAAAGGACTTAAGATGGCGTTTTGAAAGTGTCGGAGTTTTTTTTTCCTTTCTCTTTTGTTTTACTTTCCCTTTTTAAGGATTGTTTTTTGCTTTTGCTTTTGCTTTTGGCTTAGAATTTTTTTTTTGAATTGTTTGCTCTTTTATTACTTATTCTTGGGATTTATTCTGGACTTTTAATGATTATAGTTTGTCTCTTTTTAAAAATTCTTTTTTTCTTTTTTTCCTCCTCCCTTTTTGGCTGGAGGGGAAAGGGAAGTGACAATTGTGCTTTTTAAAATGGCTTCAAAGAGGCAGCAGCCTTCCTCAGTACCCAAGGTTATTTCTTCTCCTATAACTTCCACTGCACAGCTACAACAACAATCTAAACATGCACCACCGGCTCAGCCACCACCCTCCCCTCCTCTACCTGGACTTTCAGTGCAAGAGGTTAGAGGCATAATGGGAGAGATTGTAGTTCAAATGAGAGAGGAAATGACTCAATTTGTTTCACAGATTAAATCAGAAATTAAATCTGATCTCAAAGAAGAGATAACGGGGATAAAGTCTAAATTGCAAGAAAATAATAATGAATTACGACAAGATATACTGGCAGCTGTTTCAGGTTTGGCTACTGTGGTGGTTAAGCTCGATGCAAGGCTTGAGGAAGTGGAAGACAAAGTTGACTCTTTAGATGACAAAATTCAAGACGTGGAAAGGAAGGTGGACTCCTCACAAGAAGATATTTTGATGTTTCAATACAGACAAATGGAGTATGCTCTGAGGATTAGAGGCCTCAAGGAAGATATGAATCAAGATTTGATGGAGGTGGTTCTTAGTGATCTGGCGCTGGCTTTGGATATGGATAAAGGAGAATTACAGAGAGAAGTAGAAAAAATTTATAGACTCAACTCCTGGATTGCTAAGCAGAAGAATTTGCCCAGAGATGTGGTGATTTACTTTACAAAGAAGTCCCTGCGGAATGAGATTATACAAGCTTTTTACAACAAAAGATTTCAGATTGCCGCCCAAGATGTCATCATTCTAAAGGAAATCCCATCTAAAATTTTAAGAAGTAGGAAAGACTTTGCTTTTTTAACCAATGAGCTTAAAGCTAGATCGATGCCATTCAGATGGGAAATTCCGATGGGTATCGTTTTGAGCCATGCTGGGACACGTTACAGATTGAACACAGTTGACAAAGCTAGAGATTTCTATACTTCGGTCCTGAGTGCAGGCTCAACTTCATCTGGTCGGAAATCTTTGAGTGCTAAGGAACCTGAGCAGCAATCTGAGGCACTAGATTTGGTTTCCGCAGGGATGATAGAAGTGGCAAAGCAACGCCAAACGGAGGCTAAAGAGCAGAGGATGACTCGTGCAGCTTATAAGCGTAAAGAGAAAGAGCAACGTAAAAAAGAGCCCAAAGAGAATTCTCCTGGAAGTGCATCACCGCCGGTGGGAGGAGCAAGACCCAAGAGTTATGCAACACACGCAGCTCTGTCAGAGTTTGATGGTGTCTTCTCCAGGCTGCGTGCCAAGGGAGATGGCAAAGTTTTTGACCTGGAATGTTAATGGATTGAATTCTCCTCAGAAACGGAAAAAAATCTTTTATTATTTGAAACAACATACCAATGATGTTATTTGTTTACAGGAAACTCATATTCTACTTAAAGATCAGAAATATTTAGTTAATGCTCGTTTGGGATCTCATTTTATATCTCCTGCACCTGGGAAGAAAGGGGGAGTTGTTATATATGTCAAACAAAACCTGCCAGCTTGTCTGGTAGAATCAGATCCCCAGGGGAGATATGTGATGATTGAACTTGGTATTTATGGTAAGAAAGTACTTATAGTTGGACTTTATGCTCCAAATCAACAACAGGAACAATTTTATAAACAGTTACACCAAAAAATAACTTTGCTTGATTATAGATCGGTGGTATTAATGGGTGATTGGAATGGTGTCTTAGATACACAAAGGGATAAGAAAGGTTCCTCTCCTTTTCTTAAACAAGCAAGGCTACCTAAAGCCTTTTTTGATATGAAAGAAGACTGGGAATTAAGGGACTATTGGCGGGAACGTAATCAAGAGGAGAGAGACTTTACTTTTTTTTCTGACAGACACCAATCTTTTTCAAGAATTGACTTTTTCTTGATTACCACGGATTTGTATAATAAAGTAAAGAATGTAAAGATTTTTCCTAGATCACTGACGGATCATAGTCCAGTTTGGATGGAGTTGATTCAAGAGAAAGAGGAAAGAAGATCCTGGAGAGTTAATGAAAATTTGTTTAGACAAGAGAAGAATGTTCAAAAACTAAAGGAGTGTTTAAAGGACTATTTTGCTTTGAATATGTATAAGGGGACTTCAATGTCAATGGTATGGGATGCAGGTAAAGCATTTATGCGCGGTGTTTTGATAAAAATGAATAATTTTTATAAGCGAAATCAGACTCAGAAACGTAGAGAACTTGAAGATGAAATTAAACTAAAAGAAAGGGCTTTGATTCTAAATCCTTCTGATGAAAGTACTAAAGAATCTGTAAAGTTATTAAGGTCACAATTTAATATGTTGATAGCAGATCAAGCTGCAACCAATTTATTATTTATGAAACAAAATACATTTTGTAATGCTAATAAGCCGGGGAGATGGTTGGCTTATCAATTAAGAAAGAAACAGAGACTGAGAATAATAGAGAAAATAAATTATAAGGGTAAACTAGTTTCTCAGAAGGAATTAATTAAAAAATCTTTTTTGGATTATTATCAAAACCTATACAAATCTACTAATGTACAACTGTTAGATATAAATAAATATTTAGCTGAGGCAAGTTTTCCTAAACTGACTGAGGATCAGAAATATGAAATTAATGGTTTAATTACTAAGGAGGAAATCGCCTCAGCAATTCAACAATTGAAATTAGGGAAAGCACCGGGTACGGATGGGTTAACAGCTGTTTATTATAAAGCTTTAATGGAGGAGATGATTCAACCATTAAATGATCTTTTTAATGGTATCTTACAGGGTTTAGAGATTCCTCCTTCATGGCGTAGTGCTTTTATATCATTGATTCCAAAGGAGGATCAAGATCTTACTTTACCAAAAAACTATAGGCCTATATCTCTTTTAAACGTGGATTATAAGATATTTGTAAAAATTTTGGTAAATAGGCTTATGAGGGTGGTGCATCATCTTGTGCATAAAGATCAATCAGGGTTTATAACAGGAAGGTATATGAAAAACAATGTTAGACAAATTATTAACTTATTAGAATACTTAGATAAGAACAACCAAGTTCCTGCAGGGCTCATATTTTTAGATGCTGAAAAAGCATTTGACCAACTGAATTGGCATTTTATGCTAAGAGTAATGGAAGAAATGAATTTTGGTGAAAACATATTACAAGCCCTTAAGGTAATATATCAAAAACAAACAGCACAACTTATTGTTAATGGAGGTTTGTCGGAGGTTTTCACAATAGAGAAAGGTACTAGACAGGGGTGTCCTTTATCGCCATTGTTGTTTGTTTTAACATTGGAAATATTATTGATTAAAATTCGAGAGTCTCAGGAAATTAAAGGAATATATGTTAATAAAAAAGAATATAAGTTGAGAGCTTTTGCGGATGACTTGGTTGTTACTTTGTCGCAACCTGATTATTCTGTAGTAAACTTATTACAGTTGATTCACCATTATGGTTTGGTCTCGGGTTTTAAGATTAATGTAAATAAGACTAAAATTTTACCTAAAAATTTGTCGAGTCAGGAGAAGCAGATTTTGGTTAACTCGACGGGTTTTGAGATTGTTAATAAGGTAAAATATTTGGGGGTGATGCTGTCTGTTTCTAATGCAAAACTATTTAAAAATAATTATGAAAGGTTGTGGGTCGGGGTACAGAAAGACTTGAAGAATTGGGAAAAGCTGCAATTATCCCTCATGGGAAGAATTGCAGTGATAAAAATGAATATTCTACCCAAGTTTCTTTTTTTGTTTCAAATGTTACCAATTTTGAAAAATGAGATTAATTTAAATGAGTGGCAGAAGGGTCTCAATAAATTTATTTGGGCAGGGAAAAAACCAAGGGTTAAGTTCAAAATTATGCAAGACTTCCGTGAGAGGGGCGGACTCAAGGTACCAAATTTGAAATTATATTATGATGCGGTGGTTTTAACATTAATTAGTGACTGGGTAAATTTGACAAATTCTGAGATACTTTATCTAGAGGGATGGGATTTACTTTATGGGTGGCATGCCTATTTAATATTTAATAAAAAAATAGATTGGGCTTTTAAATCTCATATTTTAAGAATTTCTTTACTTAGGATTTGGAGAAAATATTATAAAAGTGATTTTAAAGTACCATTATGGGCTATACCTTGGCATGCGATAGAAGGAATAAAAAGAGGGGTTAAAATGGATATGGTGTCTTACAGACAGTTACTTAAATGGGATGGACAAAACTGGCAATTAAAATCACGGGAAGAATTAGCACAAGAAAATTTTACTTATTCTTGGTTCCAATATAGGCAACTACTAGATAGATGGAAGATGGATTGTAAGGTGGGTTTTCTTAGAGAAGATGAAAATCTTATTAAGCAACTGAAGGATCAAAGACAAACCCACATTAAGAGAATTTATGGGGTTTTAGTTGAATTGGACTCAGAAACGGAACTAATTAAAGATTGTATGATTAGATGGGCGCAGAACTTTGGTGAGCCAGTTTCATTGGACACCTGGGAAACTATTTGGGTGAGAAATGTCAAATTTACTCAAGCACAGAATCTAAGGGAGAATTTTTATAAAATGTTTTATAGATGGCACCTTGATCCACAAAAAATGTCTTACATGTACCCTGACGTGCAACCTAAATGTTGGAGATGTGGTTATAAGGAGGCTTCCTATTATCATATTTGGTGGTCATGTAGAGAGATAAAAGCATTTTGGATCAAAATATGGTGGAATATCCAGAGAATTTTTAGAAGGAGGGTAAAATTTACTCCGCAATTATTTTTGTTAGGTATTGTTACAGATTGTGATACAAAGGAGGTTGTATTGATGTTAAACTTGATCACAGCCGCGAGGCTGTTAATTGGACAATATTGGAAGAAGGAATCTTTGCCTACATTGCAGGAATGGTTTTTTAAAGTAGCTTATCTGGCAGAAATGGCAAAGATTTCGGCTTTCTTAAAGCAACAAACGCAAGAGAAGTTTTTTGCTATCTGGGACAAATGGATAAAATTTATACAATTTAGATTGGGTATACAAAAATATTATATAGCTTTTTCATAAGTTTTATTTTTATATATATTATAGATATCTTTTTTATATATATAAATATAAAGTTTTTAATTTAATTTTTATTTTTATTTTTTTTTTTTTTATTATTATTTCTTAAGCCTATATTCTGCTCTGGGAAGCTCAGGGGGGGGGAAGGGAGGGTTTTTGGGAGGGGTGTGGGGTGGGGGGTTTTTTTTATATGTATTGTTTAATTTTTTTTTTCTTTTGTATATGTTGTTTTTTGTTCTGTATTGTTCTTGTTTTTTTTTGTAAAATTTATAAAACTTTTAATAAAAAAAAAAAAAAAAAAAAAAAAAAAGAAACATTTTATAGACAAGAAATAATAGAGAAACCCAAATGGGTAGCTTATCTCGAGATACTAGAATTTTGTTAAGAGGGATACAAAAAAAAAAAAATCAGGAAGAATTGGTGACAGAAATAAATGCCATTTTTTTTGTATCTACAGTTATTATAAAGATTTAAAGTAGACAAAAGAGTTTGTGGTTTTTGAACACTCTAGAATGAAATAGAATTATGTGCAAATGAGGTATATGTAATTGCTAAAATTTTGAAATTAGAAACAGAAGAATAAGTGAAAGTGTACAATAAAGTGGTCTAAAAAGTTTGGTTATAATGTACAGATGGAACAATGGAAAAATATGTGGTTGAAAGGATTGAAATGTACATATTATAATCCATAGCTGATGGACAAGTAAAAAAGCTAGAAAATTTTGGATTCAAATACATATACCGACTCAGTGGATTTTAAATAGAAAAAAAATAATAGAAAATTGAGGCCAGAAGTTTTTCTTTTGGGATCGAGGGACAAACTGTTGGAAAAAAGTCATGAAACTTTGTTTTTATACAGTAAGTGATAACTGCAGAGATACTATTGTATGCACAAAGATGGAAAGATTCCATCTTTGTGCATAACCCACAATGGTTGGTGATAATGGAATTTTCTGAAATGGATAAACTGAGGTCTTTGAGCAGAGAAGACAATATCTGTTTACTGATGACTGTATCTTTCGCATAAAGTGGGGGGGGGAATGAAGGCCAAGGCATGGGAAACAGAAAGGGATGGTGGTTCTTCAAAAGGTTTTAAATGGCACGAGAATCGTTACTCCTGCCTTACAGACCTCACACCAACCGTTCTTCCCCTTCCCCAAACCAGACCCCAGATGAGTTGGGTTGGCCTCTGGCGAGGGGGGGCGCAGGCTACAGTCCAATTCAGACTGAACATCTCAGACCGGCTCGCTGCTTTGAAAGCAAAGAAGGCTCTGGGCCACCCTTCCTACCAAGAGGACTTCTTTTCCCCAGGGCTTCGGAAAGAAGTGACCACAACATTCTCCCTGCCCAGCAAAATCTCTCCGTCGCCTTTGCTGACGGAGGAAAGTCGGGGAGCCGAAGAAAACACCGGAACGAGGCTGCCACCAACCAGAGGGTTTCCTCGCTCGAGGAGAAGGAGCGGCCCAAACCGCCAAGGCTCCGGGCTTTGGCTTCCAGGCTACTAGACCGGATTTTGCCTCCTACTCCCGAAAACCAGAATATGAGGCGCTACCGGCTTTTTTTTTTTTTTTTTTTTTAAGCTCCCCTAACTCTCCGCCTCTTCCCGGAGCCCCACGGCAACTGTACTCCCCCAACCCGAGCCCATTTACCTCAGGCGCCCGCGAGCGCGCTGAAGGCCCCGGCGCTGCCGAGCTTCCGTAGTTTGAGCTCAGCGCCTTCCTCCTCCAGACCGCCAGCCAGACCTTACTAAACCATCACAACGCTCATCCATCCACGTGCCCAGGCGAGGAGCGTAGAGGTAATCGATTGAAAGGCCGCCGTCTGCGCTGGTGCCGGGGACGTTTTGCTTTGCGACGTTGTTTTTTTCTTTTCTTCCCCCCCCCTCCAAAAAAACCGCAATCAAATTACACATTTTTAATTTTAATTAATGTCAGTATCAGGGTGTTTTTATTTTTATTTTTTATACTCCGGTTGATGGTGAGTTTTTTTTTGTATGGCCTTTCTTTATGCCCGATCTTTCTGCGCCCATGCGTCACATCTAGGAAAAAAAATCCCGAATAAATCGCAAAGTTCTATCTTTATAAACTGCACTATGATTAAAATTGCAATGATTTAATCTGCAAACTGCTTTTAAGAGGCTGCAGTTTTTCTACAGTGGAAATGATGGGTGCAAATTAGTTTTCCAGCTGAAGAGTATTTTAAGGTTGGTTGAGATTATTGGTAAAGGAGGTGAAGTTAAAACCTCAATTGGAGAAAATAACAATGAAATTTATCGGTTTTCATTTAAATCAAGAGCAATTAAAGCAGCTCACACATACTGTCACCCACACTGCAGACCACTTCTGCAAAACAAAACATTATTTGGCATAAAAATGAAATGCTTTTTTTTCACCGAGTAAAGTACTGTTTATAATGGTGGTCTTGGCTTTTTGCTCTTTGGTCCAACACTACCTCCTCCCACCAATCATGATCTTGGAAATAAACTATCCACATTAAACGCAGATCAATCCATGTTCAAATGTCAAGGGTTCATTTGTACATTTCACACTCAACTGATTTGGATTTACAGAAAAGCAAGCTCACTATTTCTGTTTCTGACAATAGTTAATTTACACTGCATAGGTATACTGAGAAGTGAAGTATTTAAGTATTATGATACACAATAAGGAAATGTTATACAGCTTCAGGTTCAAGTGGCATTCCTGTGTTCATTTCTCTGGGAATAACTCAGTCCCGGGAACTAAATGTCAACTCTTGGTGAACATAGCTAAAATTGCACTGCAATTCTACACCTGTATACATGCTTATCTGAGGTAACCCTCACTAAACACAGAACAGTTGATTACTAAATTGGATATCTATGTTTACACCTTAATGTCCAAGTCAGAACTATTCCTACATATATTCAACTGAATAGATTGGAAGCATTTCCTTTTTAATTCTTAATTGTGTACCCTCAGTGGAAAGGTTATTTTACAATTTTACTAATGTAAAATAGAAATGTCTAGCTCTCACCAATGTGACATCTGCAATTTTGTATAAACTCATTTCACTGGACACAGTGGGATTTATTTCAAAGTCAAATGCATATCTTATTTATTTATTTATTTCATAGGATTTTTTTTCAAATAGAAGCCTATTTATTTTCATTCAGTAATTAAATCACACTGTCAGAGTCACTTTACTGGAAAGTTGTCTCTATATATTACTTTTGTTTAATGCAGTGAAGGAATGTACACTAGAGCTTTTCTGCAGATGTAGGAAATTTGAATTAAATTCTGTCATTATCACTGCAAAAGAAGGAAACATCAAGATTAGTTTAAAAAGAATTTAGTATAGGAAGCTTTTATAAGAATTGATGTCTGGAGCTTGCATTCATTTCTCAAGATTTCTTTGAACTTGAATAGATGGTGATTTTCAAGATATGCCCTTATTCCAGAGTTAATATTTCTATTTTCCAATATCATATTCATATTGTTTTTTACAATTTCTGTCTAGTCTATAAAACACATTACTCATAATTCTGTGGTTTTCTAGGAGTCTGAATCACCACTTGCATCTGAGTATGAACAGACTTAACTGAAAGCCATAAAAAGAGTATAAGATACTCTGACAATTTTCTAATAAAGTTTTTAAAAGCTTAACTTTTACTTCCTAGATCTAAAACACACTTGGATATATTGATTCCCAATAATACATGTTGCTTATAATATTAAATTATCTAAGAAAAGGGGTAATATATATCTCAATATAAAGTAATGTAGAAAATATTTGGAATTACTCCATCCAAATGGAAAACTTTGCATTCTGGGTGTTAAACAACCAAATGTACTAATATTAATCAAGGGATGGGAGCCAAATAGCAATGAGCATTTCAATCTGGCTTTTAGATAGCACCTAGGGTTCCTGGAGTATGCAAAAAATAAAATAAAATAAATAAACCCTCCTTTCTGGGCAATATGATTCCCATAATCTTTTCAATTTACTCCCACGAGAATTTCACATCCCCTCATCCCTTCCTCCATAGGAAGTATTTGGAATCAGACCTTTCCCTATTTCTTTACAAAGAAAGTGTCAGGGGCACTTGATCCCACCAACAAATGGATGTGGGCTTGCATCTAATGATTGCCTATCCATAGATGATAAATCCATATTCTCTCACATGATCCCATTAACTCATGTTGCAACTATACAAAGTTTAGAGACCATGTCCCCCCCTTTTTTTTTTTTTAATCTGTGCCCTCAAGTCAAAACTATGGCTGTTTTTCCCTTACATCTCCCAGTTAAAAGGTTCCCCAAAATTGAGACTGTTTGGTACCATAATCTGTAACAAAAGGAAGGCCTGGGCAAGATTAAGCTAGGTGGGATCTGGTTAATATTTGGATGGAGGACCACCAGGGAATCCCAAGGCAATAAGCTAAATGGGAAGCTGGTAGGAAAAATGAAGAAAGCAATAGTTGTCTTGCCTTCTGTTGTCAAAAAAAAAAAAAAAAAAAAACTTCCTGAACCTCACCAGGCACCACGCCTGATTTGGATGACACTTTGCCATCAAAAGTAGGACAGGTAAATAGACAAACCGTGGACTTCTTTCCTAGTAAAACTATTGCAGCGATAATCTGGAGAGGGACCAGAGTTGCTCAGTCGGGTGTCAAAGACTGGAAAACCGGAAGAGAGTAAACTTAACTGGAGAATGAACCCAGCTGCAAATGTGGCAGGTAAAAGGGTTGGAGTATCAATGAGAGGACGGGGCAAAACTGCGGGTGCCAGAAGGACTAATTCTGCCAGAAAATGCGCTTCTTTTGTTTGCTTCTCTCCACCATCCCCGACCTTCCAAGTGCCTGATAGGCCACAACTATTGCAGCCGTCTTAAGCTCGCTGCTTGGAAGCCGCGGGGGGCACGGCTCTCTAGGGAGCCACTGCTTTGGGGGCTTGCCCTACCGACGGCTCTCTCCCAAGCGAGCGCTTCTCTTCTGCCTCTTCCCGGGATCAAGAGCCGCGGGTCCGGGCGTTGGGGCGGAGGAGAGCCGACCCAAGAGAGGCTCCGTCTCGGGCTTGGCGGAGTTCTTCCTCCGGCAAGGGGTTGCCCGGAGCGCTTCCAGGAGACGTTTGGCCAAAGCGCTCGTCCTTCCCTTCTGGCGGTCTCCCGCCCGAGCACTCCTCATTTCAGCCCCTCCCTTGCAGACCCGGCCCCTTCTCCCCCCCCCCCGGGGTTGAACTAACGCGGGACACCAGCGCAGGATCCGTGCCTAATTAAATTAATTAGGGTTTGTTGTCAATCCTGGATTAATGGCCGAGAGAGAGCGCGCGCGAGAAAGCCCCGGCTGCCGGATCTGGAAAGGGGGCGAGGGGCGGGGTGGGGGGGGGGGAACGGAGAACTTCTCCCTCTCTCCCGCGCTCTCCCCCACCTCCCCCACCCTCTTCCCCGCCTGGCTTTTTTTCTCTCTCTCGGCGAGGCGCCTGGGCTGCCGCTCTAGGAGAAGGGGGTTCATTCCCAGGACCAAAGGGGAGGTTATTTGCTCCAAACGAGGGGCAGGCTCTGCGAAGTATAAATAGTGGGGACTTCGATCACCGAAGCCCAGATAGACCGGAACTCTTCGCGGGCAGAATTGTCAAAGGCCGGGTTTTTTTGTTTTTTTTTTTTAAAAAACAAGCTTCGCTCGGGTTGGGAAACCTCCGCTCCCATTGAACGCTCCAGCCCCTCTGCGGCTTTTCTCTCCCTTTCCCACCCACCCTCCTCCCCCCTTTTTTTCTTCTCCTCCCACTCCCCCTCCTCCCGACCCCCTTGATGTGTTTATTGGGGGGCTCGGAGCAGCCAGAGGAGGCAAACGAGGGGGAGAAAAAAAAGAGCCCAAAGCAGAGGCGGCGATGGAAGAACTTACCGCTTTTGTTTCCAAGTCGTTTGATCAGAAAGTGAAAGAGAAGAAGGAGCTGATCACGTACCGGGAGGTGCTGGAAAGCGGACCCGCCAGGGGAACTAAGGAGTCCGGAGGCTCCAACGAGTCCAGCGCGGAGGAGAGCAGCAGCCCGGCGGCCCGGGGAGCTGGAGGAAGCGGCGGCGTGGGACGGCGATCGCCGGTGCGAGAGTTGGACATGGGCGCCGTCGACAGGAACCGGGACGCGGACACTCCTAAACTCAGCGAAGGTAAGAGCTCCGGCTTGCGTGGGGTGGGATGGGATGGGGCGGGGGCCGAAAGAGGCGAGGCTGGGGACCGCGCGGGTGGCTCTCCGACATCTGGGCTGGGGTGGCAGGGAGAGCAAAGGGAGTTGAGCGAGCGAGCGCGCGCGCGTGTGTGTGTGCTTGCGTTTCTACGCTTGCGGGTTCGCTCGGAAAGCTCCGCCGAAAGAGTCCGGACGCTCCGACGGGTTGAGTCCGGACCCGGCAGGAGTGGGGCGAGGAAACTTGGCGAGAGAAAGGACGGAATCGGGCGGCCCGATCGTCGGTGCCCTCAATTTCGCTCCCTCCACAAGCATTGCAAAGCGCTGCGAATATTGAAAACTAAACCCAATGAAAAAGAAGCCCAGTCCGGCCATCTCCCAGGAAGGTATGGCTCCAGATAGCGGAAAGGGGGAAGGGGTGGAATTCTACCTGTGGACTTTTGTGGGGATCGACTGTGGGATCCCTTTTTGACAGAGGTTTGACAGGTTAGGTTGGCTAACTGAGGTTTTCCTCCGGTACGCGTTGCCGGATTGACTGGCTGTGAGGGTTTGTTTAGGATTGTTCTTCAGAGAGAGATTTTTATATGATGGAGCCCCCCCCTCCATCATATAAAAATCTCTCTCTGAAGAACAATCCTAAAGCTCCGAAGTCTTTATACCGCCAATGTGGGGGGGGGTCCGATTGCTCCTCACATTACTTTTTTCAAAATGTTTAACTCCCAGCGAAACAAACCTAACAATAGAGTAAGGTCACGCCGAAGTCCATCTTTAAGTATTTTACGGTTGAACTTTAATTCGCTTCCACTAAGCGACCCTTCGATATTTGCCAATGTAAAACAAAGGCGGAATTAAATAAATCGGCATATTAAAAAGGGAATCAGAAGGCTTTAAGCATAGCCCCTTATTAGTGCACCGAATGTTGAGCACAATAAAAGTAAGGAAATTACATTTTATCTTTCACAAAGTACACTTCAAAAAGTGTTCATTTGAAAGACAAGATTTATAATAGTTCCGAACCATCGTATTATAAAAGAAACCTTTAATCGTAGGCAGCACTCGAATCCTAAAAAAAAGGAGGCTTCTTATAGCTTTATTTTCTGAAACCCTTCGCGACCTACCTGTATTTCTACTTAAAAGAAAAAACCGCCTCAGTGTCAAGGAAGAGAAATGAATCTTACACAGGGCCATAGTCCTCCCTTCTTTGCTTACCCAAAGAACTCTGTGACTTTCAAGTATATTTGAATATCTGTGTGTGGTTTGAGTCAGCGAGTGCCATGTTCGCGGAGGGGAGAGGTGGGAGCGTTTTTTCAACCCGTTTGTTTAACGAAAGTAGCTCCTTCCAGATCGGAACTGGGTTGAAAATCTGAGCCGGAAATGATTTGCTAAACAAATTCCGAAATAGGCTTAGAGAGGGAAGCGCAATTGCGGTAAAGAAACTTCGGCGGGGCGGTGGGCAAACCGTCCCAGGGAAAAGGGAGAAACCAGGTTTTTTAATTGGGAAAGCCCCCGCACTGTGGCTTGATAGCGTTGCTCGGGCAAGGAAAAGCCGGGCCTGGTATCCAAAGTGAAGGGTTTGTGTCTGTGCGCGGACGGCTGTAGAGGCGAAAAATGGAATAAGAGGGAAAGATTAAGATCGACTGTCTCGTTATAATTAGTGGCAGCAGGCCTTTGTTGCAGGAATGTATAAACTTCCAAATTCCCTGCGTGGATCAGTTTTCATTTTCATCTGTAACGGGGGAGTGGGAGGAAACCAGGACAAAGAGGAGGCAGATGGAGCGGGATGCAATTTAAACGTTTAGACATCCAAATAGGACCGCGTGGTTATTCCAATGATTTCGTTTTCGAGGGGGTATTTTTCTGTTTCTCCACGCAAAGAAAGCCAAGGAGATTTTTAACTTCCCCAAGCAGATCGTCGGGAGGTTTAAGCGGCATCTGAGGAAAGACTGCATGTGGCAGATGCCGCCTCTGCCCCGCACCTGCCGCAAGGATTTCTCGAAAACCGGCCAGCCTTGAAAAGTCAGGCGGGCTAGGTAGCTTCCAAACGCGCGTCGGAGTTGAGTTCCCTTCCCAAAGAGCCATCCCGAAGGGCCCCAGCGGAGTGTTTTTGGGGAGGGGTGCGTGTGTCCAGAACCCGAAAGATTCCTCCACCCCCAACGACGGTTCAGATTTTTTTCGGGGTAAATCTTTGCCTCTCCAATCCAATCATGCTTCAGATCCTCTTCCGAAACCCAAAGATTTGGTCTTTTAAGTCTAAAAGAAAAGACGCATACATCTTTTTAAATTCAGTTTTTAAACCCCTTTGGGCCTCTGTTCTGCAGAGGATTGGGGATTATTGGGGCAAGCGAAAAGCACCTTCGGATCCAACTGCAGAACTCGGGGTGTTTTCCTAAATATCGCTAAGAAAGTCTTAGAGGGAAAGAAAATCCGTGTGTGGGGGGGGGGAGGGAGAGAGAAAATATCTTATTTCCGTGTAATTCGATTGAGACCCTGGAGTACAAGTCTCTAAACTTCTAAAGCACCAGGGCTTTGCATTTGATACCTCGGAGAAGGTTAGGATTGGACTGCGCTACAAAGGAGAAGAAACCCTTTGCTGAGCTGTTCAGAAACATGTCCCGTTGAGTTCAGCTTCCTCCCCCATAAAGGCGTTAATCCGCCCGCTGAAATCCATGGGACTTATTGAAGGCTTGAGGCGTGGGGGGGGGGGGAGGACTCTGAAGGAAAGCCTAGCCCGATCAGAACGGCCCGCTTTCCGCTTGGCCCACCGGGCGCCTTCGCCAGCGGAGTCCTCCAGCCGCGAAACCGTTAAGGGAGGTGACCTTTCCTCGTTCATTGATCTCTGGTCCTTCCCCTCCCCTCCCCTCCCCTCCCTCCCCCTCCGGCTTAAGGCAAAAAGACACGTGGGGGGAGACTCGGCGATCAGAGGAGGCCCGGTGCTCCGGGGAGAAGGTCCGGCACGCGGCTCTGATCGCCTTTTTTCGCCTCGCCCCCCCCCCAGTTTCGCCGGAGCTGAAAGAGCGCAAAGAGGATGCCAAAGCGATGGAAGACGAAGGGCAGACGAAAATCAAGCAGCGGCGGAGTCGCACCAATTTCACCTTGGAGCAGCTGAACGAGCTGGAGCGGCTTTTCGACGAGACCCACTACCCGGACGCCTTCATGCGAGAGGAGCTCAGCCAGCGGCTGGGGCTGTCGGAAGCCCGGGTGCAGGTGAGGCCCACCGCTTGCCGGGGTTGGGAAGGGGAAGAGGGGGATGAAAAAGCGACGCTTTCCTCCGACTAGCCGCTTCTGGACGCGGGGCTGCTGGCGCTCTTCCTCTGAAGCATCCCGGAGCCCCGGCGCCGGCGGGGGGGGGGGCTGGCGTTTGGGAAGGCGGGTGCCGGCGGAGCCTCCTTTTGGATCCCAGGCTGGTTTCATTGGACAGTCGAAGGGGAGAGGCCGCCCTTCCCCGCCGAACCCTTTGCTTTGGCCGGGAGCCGGCATCCCTTCCGTCCGGAAGCAGCAGCCACCCGCGAGTGGGTGCGGGGGGTTCCCCGCGGAAGGAGCCCTGGTCACTCCAGAAGGAAGGAAAGCTTCCTAGGGCTCTGAGCCCTTTCGAAAGACGCTTCGGCTGCGCGTGGGGGGGGGGAGATCCGTTGCCGGGACGGGGCGTCCACTTAGCGGATCCAGCAGGTCTGACGGAGCGCGAGCTTTCGGGGTTTTTTAAAAGAAAGGAAGGTAACTGCACTGGTCATGGGTCAAATCCATCCACCCTTAACGCGGCTCAGACTCCTTCGGCAGTATAAGGGAGCTCTCCCTCGACACGCCGGGCGCCTTCCGGAGTTCCGATCTCTTCTTTGAACCGGGGGGGGGGGGCCGAGAGGCCTCAGTACTGAGTTCCTGTAATCTGCTTGGTGCAGGTTTGATGGAGCGTGGGAGGAGACATTCAAATCAGGCTTCACCTGGCATGGGACGATTTCAGGTTGCTCCCCCCCCCCCGCTGCCCGAGGAAAAACGCATTAAATGGTTTTGAAAATCTTGCTTCTATTGTCCTGCCGACAAGCCACCTTCTCCACTTTCTAACTAACCTCTACTGTTGTTGCTACCAAGGCTGGGTTGCTCAGTCGGGGCTTATGGAATAAGCCACAATTGGCTGGAATTGCACGAGGTGCTGATCCCAAGCAAAACAAACGACGGAGGGTAAGCCACTGGGGCAAATACAGTCAGAGGTTGTCTGTTTGTGAGAGAGAGAGATGGAAAGGCAAACCAGGTTTCATGCTGGGCTGAGCTTCCAATTGCAGGCTAGGCTAGCTGAGTTGTGACTCGGTGTGTGAAAATGACCAGCCATTGAGTAGGGTTTAGTGTGTGTGACCTCGGGCAACTGGGTTAAATCAAATAAAGGTTGGTTCAGCAAACCACAATTTAGTTCGTGTGAAGACAGCCACTGTGCGTGGGACTCAAATAAGATCTTTTCCATGGCTTCAGTTCTATCATTTCATGTTTTAAATTATATCAGGCTAATCTTTTCACTTGGAAAAATGTATAGGGGGGGCATACCAAAGTGTATACTGGGCTAGATAGTATATAGGTACACACACACACACACACCTTTAAGTATTGACTATCTCTCTTTTTTTTTTAAAAAAAAAAAGTCTAAAACAGGAAATTGGATGTGTATTTACAGTGTATTTACAGCTTCCTTCCTTGTAAGCAATTTTAAACGCCACCCCCCAAAGAAAGGTGAATGGAAAGGAAGAGTTTAGAGGGTGCAAGCAGGGTTTCTTTCTTTCTTTAAAAAAATCTGTTTTGGAGATCCCCCCCCCTTTTTTTTCTTACACCTTCCAAATTTTCCCTAGAGGTCCTTGAGCCAAAGTTTTGTAAGCTGGCTCCTTCCCTCCCAAGATGCTGGCAAGCCAAAAGCCAGAGTCGTTTGTCCAGTGTTAGACACTGTACATCTCTATCTGCCATGATTCTCCAGGAAAATCAACCCTCCTTTGTGTGATCCCAAGGAGCCGTTTTAGTCCTTGAACATCTGCAGCTGCTCACAGAGTAACTGATACTTTCCCCTCCATCTTGCCGACATGGGCTGCCATCTGCACCAAACCAGGCTCCAGTTTTGAAAGGCTTTCTCTGCATCTTGTAATCGGATCAAGACAGAATCTGAACAGTTGAGTTGCAGCAAAGGCAGAAAAAAATCAAATGGGGGGGAGGAGCATAGAGTTCTATTTTTGGGGGGGGGAGTTTTAGCTATAAAAGTTGGAAGGGAAAAAATTATCCTTTCTTTGCTTGCCCTTGTTACTCCTTTCTAATTTTCCATTTGTCCAAGCACTGTTGTTTAGATAAATATGGGTGCCTGTATTTTGAGTAGCAGGTCTAAAAGGAAGAAAAAAAAGAGAGAGAGAAGTGGGAGGAATTAAAGGCTGCTTGCTTCCAGAGTAGGGAGATTGCCTTAACAAAAGAATAATTGGCACTTGGTATAATCCATAGAGAAGAACTTCCAGAGATTTGCATTGATTAGAGTCTGGATCCTTTAAAGTAACCCCATAAAATGCCCATGAGTTGGGTTTAAGCATCCTTTCCTGCCTGGTTCTCCTTGGCAGATGGCAGGACGAAGAGCTTGCTAGCTAGTGTGAGAATAACTAGAAACCAAAATCCCAGTCTCCAGACCTACTCCTGCTCAGATTCCTACAGAAGAAATGCCTTAGATGCTGGTGGGCTTATTCCTGAGTAAAGATATTAAGAGGTGTCCTTGAGGTTTTGCTGGTTTGTGTAGCTGCACAGAATCCAATTGCTTTACTGCAGCAACTACATGGAGTTCTCTGGAAACAGGTCACAAGAAGTCAGACGGGGACGTGTATCCAGGAAGTGGGCAGACTGGACTTCTTTGCTGCTTTTGCTCAGTAGCTGTTGTCCAGGAAAAGCTAGCAGGAACGGTAGCTTTAGCCTGGAACCCTAGAATATCTTGCTAGCAACTCTCTGAAAACAAAACAGCATCTTTCACAGGCCATCCCAGAGTCGGCTTACATGTCTATTTCCTTAAAGCTAATAGGCAGTACCCTGAATAAGGTTAGGTCTAGAGCAGGGGTCCCCCCCCCCATCCATGGACCATCTGTGAGATGCAGGCAGCTCACAAAACCACGCACCTCTCCGGTCCAGTGGAAAAATCTCTCTCCACGGAATTGGTCCCTGGTGCCCAAAAGGTTGGGGATCTCTGGTCTAGAACAGTTGGTTCATTTCAATGTATCCTAAGGTGGGTTCTAGGTGTGCAGACATCAGCCCATTTCTTTTGAAACTCATTCCTTCCTCTTTCAAAGAAAATCTCCAGTGAGATTCTTTTCCCTTTGAAGGACAGCAGGTTTCTGTCACTCCTACCTTCTTACCCTCTCTCTTTATGCACTAAAGCCTGGAATCCAACCAATTTAAAGTGGAACTCTCTAAAGAAATTAGGCAATTCACTTTTAAGCCGTTGCTCAAATGTTAGTCCTTCTGAATTAAATGGATTTTCATAGTAAGTTCTTTTGAACTCTTCCAAGTATGTGTGGGATGGCAGGGGGAGAATAGAATTAGGATCAGGCAGTCCAAATTTATTAAGGGGTAAAGTATCAACTTTATTCTCCTTCTTCGTGCTTTTAAAACTTTTTTCTTGCTTTAATATAGACAGAAATGACATCTTGCTTGCTGTGGAGCTGTTTTCACATTTTCTATTTCCCTCCCCCCCCTAATATGGGAACAAACAAGATTATCATAATAATGAGATCATTATTCTGCTTCTGTATTGCATGCTAGTCCCCAGAGAGAGAGCATTTCTTGACTTCTTTATCATGACACTTTTATGACCCTCCACCTCAAAGTTTGTAATTAAATGCTTTGGTGTTTTGTTTTTCTTGCAGAGAAAGCTAATCAATACAACTAGCTTTTAATGAGCTCATTCCTTTTTGAGTTTTATAGATATATATTTTTGTATTTTGTGCAAATATCAAAACCCTTGATCCAATTTCAAACTTTCAGAGTTAGGTCAAATAGAGAAGTTCAGCAGGGATATTTCTGCAAAGATAAGACTGTATTGGCAGGAGAATCAGCAGAGATAGTAATTCTCCTTTGCTAAGCTGTGGGGTAGTAAGGAGCTGGGAGACACAGATTTAGACTTTTAGGTTTTGATAACCCAAAGACCTGCTAATCAGGCCTCCACTACAAATGTCCGTCTTGGTTTTTGGAACAGTATAAATCTGGTTTGCCAGTGCTTTTTTCCAAGATTTTTTTTTAACTTCCCAGTTTAGATATTAACCCCTCCCCCCCATCTTCCAATGGTCTCACCTTCAAATAATAAACAAACAATGGGCACCTAAGGTCTCACCTTCTGGAACTGATCAATTGGATATGAATCTAGTAACCTCTTGTAGTCATTACATATTCAGTATCTACACCTATGTTTCTTGTATCCAACAGCAAAATGTTTACTTCATACATCAGAACTGAAATCATGCATGTGGCTATCCAAAGTCCTGCTTCTTCTAAAATACTGTATTTCCATTTAGGCCCTAAAAATATCTAGTTATACATTCTGAGCCTAGGAATTTGTTTTCACTAGGATAAGCCATCAGCTCAGGTTCCTTTTGTCCTGTTTTGATTCCAAACTCTTCTTTTTACCACCACTAAATTTGAAAAGAAAAAAAAATGTCCTGGCTTCTATTGTTCAACTGAGGGTCAGTGCATTTATCTACTATAGACTTTAATAGTGTTATGGCATCTGAAAGTCTTATAGAATAGTTATTATGGCACTCTGATAGTTTGTGATGCTTGAAAATTTATGTCATAATAAAGTTCTTAACCTTGAAAGCATCACAAGACTCCATTGCTTTTGTTAAAATCTGGAGGGTTTTCAACACATCCTCTTGGAGAAATGTCCCATGCATTCCTATCTCCTTTCTGCCCTCCCTGGTTTTATAGTCCAAATAAATTTCCCTTCTGCTCCATCCAAATGAGCTTCTTGCACGATAACCCAATTTTTAATATTTGACCATACCATATGCATTTGAATCTCAGATTGGAATTTAAGTAGCTTTCTCTGGAAGACTCTTTTTTCAAAAATATAAACTGAGATCACCCAGTTAAATTCACCCATTTTACTTCCTCTTATTTCCACATTTTGTGTAAAGTGTTTAATAGATTTACCAACAACATTTACTCAGAAATAAGGTCAATTGACTACAGAGGCACTTCCAGAAAACTAAGTGAAAGAAATAAACCTCACTCTCTCCCAGTTGAAAATCATGGGACTTACAGCAGACATCTAGACACATCTTCTAGGAGACAGGACTTACTGAGCACAATAGGATCAATCCCCAGTGAATCTGTATTGGGTTACAGCATTAAAGTGCTTAGCAGGCCTGAGATGAAATACATTTCACTCAGAAGGGAAGTAAGACCCATTGATTTTACAGAAGAAAATTACAATCTATCAGCGTTTACTTGGGATAAATTTCTTTTGAGGAATAGGGCTTGCTTCCAAACTATTGGAAATATTTTCTGCCACCATCTATGCTTAAGATTCAAGTCTAGTTTTAACTGAAATATGAAAATGTAATACTAGTTTTCATTTCAACTGGCTTCAGATTTATTGAGAAAGAGTCTCATAAACTGTACGTGTGATTACAAACCAGTTTACTGATGCATTTTACAATGGTTAGCATATGTGTGACAGAACTTTTACTGTATTATTTCTTAAATAAGTTACTAAAAGTTCTAAAATGTGTAACGTGCATGATACACATTTGATAACTGCAATATCTGAAAATGAGATAAGTTTCTCAAAAAGACATTTAAATGGCTTTTTCACTCTAGATCAGTTAGTTTGTTTAAATATAGAACAGAAACAGTCCAAACTAAATACTTCCTAGAAAAGTAGGAGTGAGAACTGTTCCTTTCTAATGGTGAAGATGCTTTCGGGACCATAGCAACAACTGAACTTTGATACATATACAGAATCTAGTTAATTGTGAAGGAGAGTGCCTCATTCCATCTTGTGGAATTTGGAGGTAGTTGAAGGGAGACTCAGAAATATTTACTGTACTTCCAACATTTGTAAGGCAAGATGTTACAGTTGACTGATGATCCTTGTGATGCAATCGTACCCAGGCTTATTAAAAAAAGGAATGCAGCTGTGTTTCATTGGATTTACTGTTAGATCAGCCAGCCTGAGGAGAGGCCAAAGTTGGACAAATAATTGCAGTGTGCACCCAAGAAAAAGATCTGGTGCAGATTTGACGGAATAGGTCTGGGTATAGCAAATAGGGAAAGAAGAAGAATATCTGCTTACAAAATGCAACTTTCCTGTAATAAACATGTCATCAGAGAGATCACTTAATATATATAGCTGTGGCTTTATATTGACTTGTTTGCTTTTCTCCCTGATTGTCTGCCCAGGTCTGGTTTCAGAACAGAAGAGCTAAATGCAGAAAGCAAGAAAACCAGCTCCATAAAGGTACGTATGTGAAATAGAGCCAAAGGGGCTTTTGCTGTAGACATGCCTTTAATTAATGAGCTCTTGCCTGGCTTGGGCGCTAATATTTCTATTGAGTTTTCCTAACATTGCAGTTTTCTGCACATTTATCAGCCTGACTTCATGGGATAAAAGAGGACTTCCTTCAGTGCAAAAGTACATAGGATGGTTCTACTTGGAATAGCATCAAGAGGAGCAGTCCAGGACTGTAGATAGGGGAAATCAGAAAAAGTCCTTTTTGTCGTGCACCTGAGCCCAAATGGCCTAAATGCATGCACTAATCATTTTAGTTTAATATCGTCAAGTTCTGATTCTCTTTCCCTATTATGACTGGGAGACTCTGAGGATAAAAATGGACCTTGATTCAATTCTTCTTTGTTTCAGGGGTTCTCATTGGAGCAGCAAGCCAGTTTGAAGCATGCCGAGTTGCTCCCTACGTGAATGTTGGTGCTTTGCGGATGCCTTTCCAGCAGGCAAGTAGAGAGCCAGTCTTGAGCATCCCTTGAGACAAGGAGCCACAGTAGCTCCCATTCCTTTCCTGTAGTTTTCTCCATTTTGCTCCGTGGAGACAGAAGCCTTGGACACTTTTTTTTTGCTGAAAGCAAATGCCAGCAATCTCCTTCTGCAGGGGGAAGGGAGTTACTGTATGTAGTGGGTGAGAACAAGTCTTCCCTGCATCTGTAGCAGATCTACACATCATCCCAACCTATTGCAAGATTTTATTGAAACATTCAGCATTTAATTGCCCTGCCAGAGTACTCAGGTTTGCTGTGGAAAGCTCTTGAAATGAAAAAAAAGAAAGCTTTATTCCCTGCTTTGATCTTGCTAGGATCCAGTTCTCATGGCTGTAATCTCAAGGAACCAGGAGGCTGGATTGGAATAATAGAGCAATCAGGGATCTGGAAAAATGCCAAAGTTGTGAAGCCAAATTTGGCAAGTCCATTCAGGACATAAGCCTGACATCCAGGACCTTTTTTAGCCATATTACCTGGAAAACTATGTGTTCAATGAAGTTTTACTTGCAGATAACTTTTGGAAGGAATAATCTGTGTGTGAACCAGGCATGTTTAATCAGATAAAGTCCAATGAATTTAATGCAGTGAAGCTCTAGTAAGGCCATTTAGGAAGGCAATTGTTGATGGAGTCACAGAGTGCTCACTCCAAAGAACTGAGTTTTGCTATGGATCACTGTTTTTCACACTGGATACAAGGACAGGCATCAAGACTGAATACACAGATCTTAATTTTGGTAGAATAATCTTTGCAGGATTAAACAAAAAAAAAATCACAATTGACATAGCTTTACAGATAGAATTCTATTTTAAATAGTTTAATTTATATTCTTGCTGTTTACTGAAAATAGTGTTCAGTGTGCTTTTTAAAAGCCCATATAATCTCTTTTTCTCTTGGAAATTCCCTTTTAAACTATCTATGATTGGTCAATGAAGGCAAGCCTGACAACCCTATTTCTAAACATGTTGGACTCTTGCCCAGCCTAGTTGATCATCTTACGTCACAGTGTTTCCCAAACTTGACAATTTTAAGGCATGAGGACTTCAACTCCCAGAATTCCACAGCCTGCAACGCTGGCTGTGGAATTCTGGGAGTTGAAGTCCACATGCCTTAAAATTGTCAAGTTTGGGATACACTGTATTACGACATTGATTTCTGGCTTCTGTCTCTAAATCATGGCCATTACTTGGAAATAACTCTAGTTGATTTCAAGGGGATTTATAATGGATGTATTAGAAATAGCATCTTGGAGCCATAAAGCCAGGAGGTTTTTAATGACTTGTGCTCTGCCCAAACTAAAGTTGTACTCCTCGGGTTTGCTGCTAGTAATGGTATACTTTAGGTGGTGCACATCCAATAAATAGTTGTGGACACATAATTCTTTTCAAACCTTCATTCAGCCTTTCCTAACCTGGCACTCTCTAAATGTGATTGGACTAAATTTTCCAGAATTCCCAGGCACCACAGAATTCCTGGTGGGAATTCTGCTAGAACAGAACAGTCAGTACAAAGTTAGGAAAAACAGCTTTAATTCAATATACACGAAGTTCAATGCTTCTTAATTTTTTTATTTAATATGCATAGATTTTGACTTTCAGGCCTTTTGTATAGAATTAAATGTTCTTAGATGAGTCAGAAGGAAAACCTATATCAAAATAAGGTGGCTGGTATCCATGATACTCATAACAACATAGCAAACTTCTTTAAAGCTCCAAATAGTTATAGTTAAAATCTGTGTAAATCATACTTTTACAAAATTCAGAGCAAATAATGATTGAGAACTATAAATATCTACAGCCCTTAGACCAGGGGTGTCAAACTCACAGCATCACGTGATGTATCGCAACTTTTTTCCCATTTTCAGCAATGGAGTGGGTGCAGTTTCGGCATGGCACATCTTGCTTCTGGGCCAGCAGTTTGACACCCCTGCCTTAGACAATTCAGAGAAAAGGCAAGAGATACAAGTATAGTATTGGGACTTGTACCTATCTGCTTGATGTTATTTAGGGTTGCAGTACTCAACTCAATAATTTTTAAACGGCCTAAATATTGCCATAATATGCATGAATTAAGAATTAGCGGGACACATAATTTCCCCATATTAAAAGTATTTTGAAAAAACAAATTCAGACTGGATAGTCATAATACCAACCAAGCACATTTATTAGAACCAGAAGCCTAAGGTTTAATAGCTAGGAAGACAATTAAGTACATTTTAGCCAATTTGTGCATATACCATTTGACAGCTGCCACAGGAATAAAATACTAATAGTAACCCACCAGAAGCTCTAAACCAACATTTTTGTTCCTAAAATGTATAACAAACATATATAAGCAGACAGGCCAGTCAATCAATGCAAGATGCAGCAAATCCATCAGCAGAAGAAACCAATCAATGCAGCAATGCACTTTTGAGTTCAGGCAGTCTATGTTCCTGTCCATCCTGCATCTTAGATAATAAGAAAGGATGACACCCCCACTTTAAAACTTTCTTTAACACCTCCCTGCCAAAACCCTCCACCACTAAACATAATATTAAACAAGGCTCAGGCATGCCTCTGTACCGCTCAGCCTTGAAACAAAAGAGCATGGTTGGAGCATGTGACATTAACCAGACTGTCAAAAAGCTGCCACAAAATTCATTTGATTTGATGTTACATGGGTCACTAATTGTGTTTTGCTAATAAGGATTTAGATTTAGCATGATACATGATCCTAGGAAAGAAGAAATGAATAGATTACTTCATGGCACTAGATCAGTTTTAACTCCCCATCCCTTTTTATTCTGAAAGCTGAGCTTTTTTCTTCTTGGCTCATTCTTGACTAGATGATAGTCACTCTGGTGACTGCTTGTCTAAAGACTGTACTAGCTGTTCACATCATTTACTCCAGCTAGGGAGAAAGCTGTTTCTTTGGAGCCTGTCTTCGAATATTTAGAGCCTACTCTACAAAAGCTCAAAACAGCCTTGGCCTGCTGTTATGGATGTTATTTACCTGTTTTGAGACTCAGCCAAGTACTGTGAGAGCATTTCTGCAACCTTGCCATTTACTTCAGGTGCTCTTATTGTGCTTTTCTGAATGTGATGACTTGGAGGTTTCATGTTGTGAGTAGCTTGAAGAGTTTGCTAAAACAGATAGATGTAAAGCTGTAAAAACGTCTGCTTAAGAGCAAGCCCCATTAAATGCAGCTTTGAGGTTGTACCAATGCAACCTATAAATGTTATGCATGCATTCCTCAGAAGTGGGGCTTTTATTCAATGGGGCTAATTCCCAATGAAATATATTATGGATTTGCCATCTGATAGCTAATTCCAGGCAAGCTTCTGAATTGAACTTCAACTCCCCTATTACCATCATTGGACAATTTTTAGGAATTAACCCTTTGGGAGAAAATGTAAACATAGCACTCTGTACAATTTGTTCAGTGCTTCAGTTACAGACAAAAAGGTGGAATTTAGGAAAGGCAGTGGTTTTTCTCATTTTCAATTTTCCTCTCCTCTTCTTGGAGGAGAGAGGGGGAGATGGAGAGATACACTCTATGCCTCTCTGTATCTGAGGTCCAGGTCACACAGTGCCATAATACCATTTGTTTGCCCTTGGCTTTCCCTGTTGTGTGAACTTTGGCACTGTAATTTGTAAACAGCGCTTAATGAGGTGGCAACCTGGTTTGTACATCACACTGATCCATGGTTTAATAAACGAACAAACACCTCGTTGGGTTCACCCATGCTAAGGCATAAACTAGTCCTTTTGATGGGGCTGAAGGTCACTGTTTACCCAGGACAAGCCCCACCAAGTCAGCTAACTTCTCCCTCTTCCCCCAGAGAAGCGGGCGAGTGGGTGCGCGCACTGAAGGGCGGGGGAGGGGGCGATGGCTGGGCGGTCCGTTAATGCTCTTGTCTCTCTCCATTCTCGTTACACCTTTTAGGATAGTCATTGCAACGTGACGCCCTTGTCCTTTCAGGTGCAGGCACAGCTGCAGCTGGACAGCGCCGTGGCGCACGCGCACCACCATCTCCACCCGCACCTGGCGGCGCACGCGCCCTACATGATGTTCCCGGCCCCGCCCTTCGGCCTGCCCTTGGCCACCCTGGCGGCGGAGTCTGCCTCGGCCGCTTCGGTGGTGGCCGCAGCCGCGGCGGCCAAGACCACCAGCAAGAACTCGAGCATCGCGGACCTCAGACTCAAAGCCAAAAAGCACGCGGCCGCGCTGGGCCTGTGACTCTTCGGCCCCGACGGGCGCGGGGCGATCCCACGGCAGGCAGCGCGGGGCCCCCGGGGCAGGCTCTCCGGAGAGACGCCCCCGCCGCCCTCCCGCGCTCCGCCTTCAACAGAGACCGACCTTGGCGCCGCCGGAGCGAGGCTTCGGGGAGGGCTGAGCCGCCAGCGCCTGCGCGCCTTCCAAAGTGAAGGAGCCTCCGAGGGTAGCCTCCAGCCGCCAAGACCCGTCCGGGCCCCGCCGGCCCGACGCAGCGGTGGGGCGGGAGAGCCTTCCGAGGAAATCGCTTGCTTCTTTGACCGAGGGACTTGGGGCAAAGCCTTCTGCTCCCGTTGATACAAGAGGAGGAAAGGACGACGACGACGACGACAGGCCACTCCCTGGTAAAATGGAGGGAAGAGCGAGGCTTGTTTGAAGAGTTAGCAAGAACTGTGTATAGACGCGCAGCTGGGAAGTTCACAGGTTTTGAAACTGACCCCTTTCCTGCGAAGTTCACTTGAATGCGAGACAGTGGAGAAGAGAGGCGGGCCTCCTTTCACGTTGCATCTGATGCTTGATAAGCTCGAGCAGCTACGAACTATAGAAGTGGAGATGGGGGAGGAAAGTTTTAAAAAAATCGCGGGAGGGGGAGGAAGGGAGGATAATAAAGGGGAAGAAGAGACGCACGATTCTTTCTCCCCCCCCTTTTCCAACGCTAAAACTAAGTCGGAATATTTTCTTAGGACTGTTCCGGGTCTGCATGGGGTTCGGTTAATTTTTTTTAAACTTCTTGGCGTCCCATGTTTTGCATCACATCTGAAATCCTGGATGAGAACGAAGCCCGTCAGTGAAAGAAGCTCGCTCACCGCGCCGACTTGAGGGGTTAAAGAGAGGCCGAGAAAGGGGTGCTCCTTCTCTCGCCCGATCCCATCGAAATCAACGGGCCATGTGTGAGAGACATTCCCGACCCTCAATTAGTACTCCAGCCATGGTCGCTTAAGACTCTCCTGATCTTTGACTTGGGGATAAATCGGGGTGTCCGAAGAGTAGGTCAAAAAAGTCAAAATGGCCGCGAGGGTGCAATCGAAGGCCCGCCTGCCTTCTACAAGCCGCCATGTTGACTTTTTAAATCATACCTTGCAGACAGCCCCGCCATAGGTTTTAATGATGACTTATTTTCCAAAACGTATGGCCACAATCACGATTCCTTGGATTCTATTTGCTCCATCCCTGTTTTTGGTTCAAACATCCAGTCTCCTTTAAGAGTTCTAGAAAAGAGAAATTCTAATAAAGCCGCGACTGTGTTATAAATTTCGGACCCCCAGCCCTACGCCAAGGTTGTCTACATTTTCACAACCTCTCATTGAGATCAACGGGATCCGTGGCCAACACTTCTCATCCCATTGATTTCAATGGGATTGGTATGTAGCTTGTTTGGCTGTCGGATTTCTAGTAACCTTGGGTGTCTTCCTCCTCTTTTCTCTGCGCTGTACGGACGGAAGGGTATCCGCGGCCATCCGTAAGGCCATCTCTAACACTGGCAGGGGGTACGAAGTATATTTTTTAAAAGAAAGATATTGGTGCACAAAAGCATTTACAGTATTTCGGCGATGGTGAATAATTGGTGAGTTGAGTGTTCCGTCAAACCTTTCGATCCGGTCTCATAAAGGTGCATCCATTCCCGTAACCTTGTGATGTTACATAATCTATATCAATGTATTTTTTTTTCTTTTCTGAAGAAATATAAATATATATATATATATATATATAGCGGTAATTTGAGCGACCGCGAAGTAGTCGGTCCGTCCGTTCGCTCCAAGCCAGAGCTGCGCGCTCTCTTTTTGCCAAGAAAATGAAACCGAGAGGGGGAGAGAAATCTCTTTGTCATTGAACTCTGCTAGGAACAGAGCTTTATAATTATTTGTTCTCCATGAAAACAAGCAAAACAAATTATTTATAATGACCGTATTTTTTCTAGTGTATTTTAAGTTATTGAGGAGGGGAAAAGAAAAAACAAAGTGGCCAAGAAGAAAGAAACGCTGGTATTTTATTTCCGTGTTGTCGGCACGAGAGTTTGTTCCACTCAGGTTTGCTTCGCTTTTGTTTGTTCATTGTCGACGTCACAGTTTTCAATAAGTGCCAAGTTATGAATTAAGACACTTTGCAATCTATTGAATGAAAAAAAAACCGAGAAAGTAAAATTTTAATTGATGGTTTCGCACAACTTTTGTTCCTGATCCTATTAAATCAATAGTGCCATTCTACCTTTTCAAATTTATTTTCCCCTTCTTTTATCTTCTTGTGATTCCTGATTTCTGTGTGTTTAAGTGTGTGTTACTTACATATTACTTTCCGCAAACTTTTAGAGAGCAACCAAATCTGTCAAAGGGAGGTCGGCCCTTCATCCCCACATGTCTTTATATTCCTGATTTTCAAAATCCGATCTTTCCGATCTCTTTGGATGGTGATTTTCCTCCGCAGGGGAAAAAAAAAAAAAAACTATGCTATTTTATAGCAGGGTTCAAAAATTTCTCAAACAGTTTTTAAAAGCACAATGCAATCCTATGCTGCAAGCCTCAGTTCCAGAAAATAAATCCATAGGTTCCCTTGATAATTTCTTCCTGATGCTTAGGATCACAACCTTGGGGATAAATCTAATTCTACTTACTTGTATGCCTTTTCCTTCTGATTGGAGAGGTTGGTAAGTTAAAAAAATCGAAAAGATTCTTTCCGTTAAAAGAATCTTTCCGGGGGGGGGCGTGCAGGCGGGGTAAGTAGCTTTTTTTTGCTTCCACATTTGTTATCTTTGATGCTAATTACCCTGAATGAAACAATCGAGTTCCATTTGTTCTGCAGAAAGATGTCTCACGTTATAAATGCGATCCCCAGGGATCTTCCTCATCACTAAATCCCACTGCCTCGATATCATCCCCAGTAGAAATGGATCGGGTCATCTCCCATAGGAGCAAAAATATGATGGAAAGCCGAATTCGCTTTCCTGGAAAAGGGCTTCTCAAAGTTTCATGGGGCGTATTTTTCCTGGGAATTTAGGGTTAGGGCAGCGCGGCAGCGCTCAATCAGATACAGGGCCTAAGATCGGGCTGCAATTCAGTTAAAGTAACTAGTTTTCGTTGAAGGGACCCCGGGGGGAATCACTAGCGTCCGCGTGGCGATCGGGGTAAAGGGCCATTTTCTAGCAAATCCCTGCGCGCTTCGGCAGTAGCCGGCAAGGCAGAATGGCAGGCAAAGCTAAAATCCAATAACTGCATCACGATTCAGCGGATCGTGTGGATGCAAACCTTGTGATTATTTCAATAGGCCACGATTAAACAATGCTGGTTCGGGGACAACCAAGTCAGGCGCTATCGACATCTCTGCTCTTGAGTAAACTGCGAAGAACCCAGGACTTCCCCTTTCACTTCCACGGGGACTTGTAAGGGTTAGCCACGTGGATCGTTCACACTTAAGGGAAGGTGTGACTCGCATTTTTGAGCAACGGGCGCGTGTTATGTTATTTACCAAATAAGTCGGCTTTCTCGTGGTTGCGAGAGCTTTTCCTGCACATTTTCTCCGAGGTCAAAGCTGTTCAGGCCTGCCGCGGGAGAAAGCCTACAAAAGTTCTCAGCTAGCATCTTCTTCTGCCGCGGTTCACAGATCCGGAAATGAAGGGCTAATGGGCCCAGGCCCTCCGAAGCTCCTTGGGCCCCCGCTTAGACAGCAGTCCTAGCCACACTTCCCTCAGACACACTTCCCTTTGGACCCCATAGTCGTGTGGATTATAACCCAACATGACCCCATGTTGACTATGCCTGTTGATCTGCTGTAGTGCCCTTTGACTTGAATCAGCCTGATTTCTCAAAGAACCACGTAGGAAGGGCGAGTGTGTGTATACACCAGCCTATTTCAGACTTGTGCACAATCCCGATACTTTCTTGACAACTTGGCCGAAGGAATCGTAGCTGGTTAGCTTGACAGCTGAAGTCCAAGGTAGCCTGTTGTCTGGGACGTTGAGAAAAATTGGGGCACATATAAGAAGTAGTATAGTAGTGGCTTGGGACACTTGAGTTATTTTTCCTAAAGGCAGACAGATTTGAGATTTCACGGGGAGGGGGAAAGGTGAAATCCAGAAGGGTCTGGAAAATAAGGGATGCATGGACCATCTAAACAAGTTCGAGAAATCGAGCAGGGCCCGATTTTGGTGGCTTCTGAATCCCCCCCCCACACACACCTTCCTCCCAGAAACACAATGCAGCCTTTGCCAGGGTTTTGTTCCTCCGTCTCTTCTGACTTCTCGACAGGAGAAAGTAGACCCAGGGAAGAAGTGGTCTCATCCACTCTTGTGTTCTGTCTTGCCCTGCCCCACCTCACAACTCCTTCTCTGCATTTTTTCAACATCCACCATTTCTTTTGGCCACTCACGCTCCTCTCTCGCAGCCTTTCCCCCATCTGATACTTCTCAAATCCATTGGAAGAGAACGCCATTGGAAGAGAACCCCGGTTAGTCTATTGGGAGCGGGGCTCCATCCAAGAAGGGTGGCTTGGTGGCGAGGGGAGCCTCCGACTGAAAACCCTGCAGTCTTTCTTCACGTCCAAGTCCGTCTAGGTTGGCATTTCTCCATGAAGCGCAAACCGGGAAGTTATTTAATGCGTGGGAAAGTCGCCGGGCGAACTCAACCTTCGAAGAACGGAACGTTGTTGATATGGTAACCAGCTCAGAATCGAACAACGCAAGCTTTGTGGGACGATTATAAAGTTTTGAAGAAACTTTAGATTACCAGATTAAAAGGTCTAATAATAAGCAATGGAAAGAGCAAAACGCCCATGCATGAATATAACATACACTTATGTGCACGCCATCACTCAGTTTTCATATAACATTGACTTTCAAACGCTGGGCAGTAAGTAGTGCTTTATTTTAGTTCAGCGTGTTTATGGCTCGAATGCCAAGGTCATAGCATATCCCATGTCCGTTTACTCAAGAGCAACTCACCTGACACAGAGGACTTTATTCCCCATCAGGAATAAGACATTAGACTGATATCACTAATGCATCAAGGGTTGCTTTGATTCGAGCGAATCCTATTATGGGGGTAATAAACCTAGGCTCCATGGATATATGAACCCCGAAATACTTTTTTTATTAGCAGGTCTCTTCGGAGCTAAGAACATTTGTGTTCTCTTCTTATTTGGGATTGCTGAGAAAGAAGGGAACCAACTTGACCTAAACACAACTATTAAGGAGATTTGAAAGGGGACTCTTCGGGCTGGGTTAAATCCAAACGGCTCTTCTGCCGTCCCGATGCGTTCCTTCCTTTCTGGAATTAAAAAATAGTTAGGATAAATTTGTTTTCGGGAGAAACCCAAATCAGTCTCGGTTTGCTTTTAGAAACGCAGAGGAACGCTTCGGAATCCCCTCTCTTATTACAGCCCTGTTAACTGCAGCGCAGTCCAGTCCACGCCATCCCTCATAAATGAGCGAGATGGTCAAACTGTGCTTGCTTGAAAGTCCCGCTGACTTTTGAGCAGGTACTTTTAAGATTGCTGACATGGAGTCAACAGTCCAAAGGACATTTATTTAAGAGAAACCCCATCTCAAAGAAGTAGAACTTAATTGCAGCGAACTTTATAGTACTTTGCTGCTCATGCTTGCAGCAGCAACAAACGTTGAATTTATAATAAATGAGACTTGAAAGTAAGCAGGGATAGAATCTATGTCCTCTCTTTGGCCATTTCTTATCTCATCCCTAATTAAGACACAAACACTATAAATCCTTGCTCAGAAGTAGTTACACTTAAATCAGTAGGGTTTACTTCTAGAGAAACAGGTATAGGTTTGTGGCTTGTATTGTGGCACACCACTTTACATCGCTTAAAACAGGGTGGCAACTGGTGGAGGGGGTTTGATTATTTAGTTGTGTGAAAAGAACCTTCGAGGTGTAAGAGGTTTGGCATTTCGGCTGAAGACGATGCTTCAAAAGTGCTAGTCTAGTTCCAAAACATCAATTTAAGGAATCCAAGCTGAATCCTGGAGTGTTGGGTTCAGTAATCCCAAGCAGTCCATTCTTTCTGCTGATTTTGGGTGAAAGAATTAGCCCCTTTGGTGGAAGAAGGAAATGTCAAAGTGATGGAGTGTTGCAGGTAACAGGACAGAAACTGGCTCAGTAGTTGTGGAAAAATAGCCAACAGATAGTGTTAGAACTTGTAAACTTTTTGAACATCTCTATCATACTATTTTTTTAAAAAAAACAAATTTATGTGGTGATGTATTTTCTACTCTGATTTCCTCTAATTATTTTTTAAAAGGATAAGTACCTTTTCTCCCTTGTTTCCAAAGAAATGCCTGTTTTCCTTTTTTGTATCAAACTCCCTCCCAAATTGAGGCAATTCTACAACTTACCTTTTTATTAGAGCTGCAAATCTGAGCACCTATTGGATGGCTGCATAGTTTCTCTAGCTACCCTCTACCCTCTGGCTATTATGGTGTCTTGGATCAACCCTACTTTATTAGTAAATTCCTATGAGATTGTGATCCAACACAACTGATTACTTAAAGGTAACACAGACTTCCGCCCCCCCCCCGCCCCAGTGATTTTTTTAGCAGTAGTTACACCTTATTTTATAGAGGAAAAGTCTTTCTGGAATCACTGATAGGGTTAATTGTCAGAACTGAAAATGTCTGACAGGCCAACAAAATCATATTGGTAATCATAAAGAGAATACCCCGAGGAAAATCAGTGGCTGATTAACACAATTTATTTATTTGTTTATTTATTTATTTATTTATGAGACTTATATACCGCTTTAAGTGCAAGCACTCTCTAAGCGGTGTACACCAGTAAGCAATGTATATATATATATATATTTACATTGCCCCCAACAATCTGGGTCCTCATTTACCTACCCCGGAAGGATGGAAGGCTGAGTCAACCTTGAGCCGGTGAAATTTGAACCGCTGACCTGCTGAACACAGTCAGCTAAAGTGGCCTGCAGTACTGCACTCTAACTGCTGCGCCACCTCGGCTCTGCATTTTCTTCTAAGATCTTAAAAAAAAAGCTCTGAGCTAAGGATTATGGTTGGCCAGCAGATGTCTAGACCTACATATTCATTTATACAGAACATAGCTAGATTTACATTCATGGTTGCACAGTCCATCTCCATCTTCTCTAGGGCCATTTCCACCGAAGGGTCTTTCTGTCCTATTATCTTCATGTATAATAATAATAATAATAATAATAATAATAATAATAGTAATAAGTCCAAACT